AGACGTATGAACACTATTGTAAAGTAAATAACAGGTATGCAAAGTAATAAGTAAACTGAATTCGAGTATGGAAGACGAAATGAATATTGAATTTAGCATTAAATAAAAGTAATAAAAGATCACCAGAGTGATGTATTACAAGAAAAGTAAAGATTACACGAAAGTAAAAAATAAATAAAAAGATAGGCTGGCTGGGATCGTTTCCTGGTGGCCTAGCCTCTACTACTTATAGAGAGGGCTCTCAATCATTGGTCTATCTTTTTCGGTCATAACTTATGATCATGCCCCTGTCTCTTGAGATACGTGAATGTCTGTTGAACCATTTATAACTAGCGGCTTATGATATCACGTTTCCTCATTTCTCAGGATTTCAAGAGTCCTATTCCTCTAACCTTTCTGTCAATTGTACACTCTCAAAGACTCCCTTATGAGTATCGGATTCCTTCCATGCATCACCCTCTGATCTTACTATTTTTTGGGTGTAAGCATTGCCCCCCTAAACGATGCTACTGAATACTCCATATTCAGAGCGTCGTTTTGGCTCCTTTGAATTTAAACTTTTGCTACTACACTAGTGAAGCTCGAGGATTGTAGCTCATGTTCCACGTGTAGTCCTTTGGTCTTTTATTAGTCTTTTCAATCCATCAATATATTTTAATCATCGTTTCGGTATGTTCTCTGCGTCTATATAATATGTTTCTAGACCTGGTATTTCTTCTTTATTTTGACACTCGTTCTTCTTCCTCAACAATGGAGACTCCTCATGCTACCTCTCCTAAAGCGGTTTTTTTCACGAGTGCAAGCTACTCAATACACTCTTCGTACCTTCAATCCGTTTTTTGATTCTTCTTTAACACCAGAAACAGCCCTTGGGCCGACCTTCAAAGAGATGCCTCCAAATGAAGTTCGGCACATTTACCCTAACTCACATATCTCCCTACCTTTCAACTTCTAAGAACCACTCCAATGGATAAACCGGCTCAGTAGCAACCTGCTTGTCACTTTTTAATGATTGAATCACTTCTTCTCAAAATATAACATCGTACTTCCCAAGCATAAGAAAATTAAATGTGTGAATGAAAATAAATACCCATTGTTTTGTGAAAGTATGATGAAATAGAATTTGTATGGATTTTAATCAATAGAAAAACAATGGCTAATGCTCAAGAATCAATTCACCATAACCAAACATTCCAACTCTCTACATTTTCTCATTTAAAGTTGTATTCAAACACATTCGAACGGATGATATTTAATAAAAACAAATCATACGTTATTGTAGCTTTGAAGATAAGAAATAGACTAACATGACAAGCACTTAGATTGTATAAATAAGTTCTACGCGTTACTCGTGTCGGAGGAACCATCGATGGGAAATCAAAGTCATCACTTAACAACTAATATTCAAAATCGAATTTTTCTTTAATTAAAAACATTTGATCGGCTAAAACCTATTAGAGAGTCATCGTGCCTGATTATGGATGAGAATCATTCTCATTCATCAGACTGTGCTGAAGTTTAGTCGAAAATAGAACTCATAACTCTGAAATCTGTACCGAACAATATGCAAAACATATGTAAAAATACAACGAGAGTAAAGGAAAATGCTCACACTATAATTGATCTTCAAGTAACAAGTTCAAATACACAAAAAAAAAAATGCTTTGAAATAATTCCAGACTTGTTTTTTCCAAAACCAGGCGAAACTTTCAAAATTGAAAATTATAATCAAACTCCTCTTCTACGGTTAAGCTTACAAATGAAAAATTTCAAGAAAAAATTGCTAAAAATAAGAGAGATCCCTTTCTCAAAACTCATATATATATATATATATATATATATATATATATGAATAATTTGTGTCTGAAGGGACAGTCTAATGTAAGAGAAATTCAATATGAATGATTTTGAGAGGGACATTGGTGACCATTAGATAAGTTTATTTGAGACCGTCAGATGAGTTTATTAAAATATGTTATGTTTTATATTATAGATTAGGGGTAATCCGTACCTGAAGGTATAGTACAATGTGAATGGTTTTAAAAGAGATGTTGGTGACCATTAAATGAGTTTATTTGATACCGTCAGTTAGATTTATTAAATTATGTCATGTTTTATATTATAGAATTATATATATATGGACTTGACTATGATATCGATAAAAAAAATTGGTAGCATACATCCAAAATTTACTATTTCAATGAGTATTTTTATAATTTTTGTGTGCCATTTTACAACAAAAAATTTACTATTTTTAAGGGTGATTTACCACCGTTGTGGTAATTATTTTTATCGATTTTTCTTTGTACAAAAAACATTATCATTTTTGTAAGTGATTTATTATTTTTTGTGATAATTTTTGTAAGTGATTTATTATTTTTTGTGATAATTTTTGTAAGTGATTTATTATTTTGGTACTGAAAAAATAACTGATAAAAATATCTACAATAGTGATAAAAGAATTCACAAATGTCATAAATAGAGGGATAATACTATTTTTTTTTTTAAATACCATAGACAACTCCTGTGTGAGTATATATATACAGAAATTTTAAAAAAATTATCATTATTCTAATGCTCCATTTGGTATCATTGAAAAATGAAAGGATGGAAAGTTGAATGGATGGAACGTTTGAGGGATAATAAAACATCATGTTTGGTAAGGAAGGAAAATAAGAATAATGGAAAAATAGATGGATTGACTTTCCTTTCAACTCACCAAAATCAATCTCTGCAAAATCGGAAGGAAAGTGGATGAAAAATTAATTATTTGTATTTGAAATGTATTTTATTTGTCTATATATTATGTATACATTAATTTCATATAAAAATACAATGATAATATATACATTAAAAAAATAAAAATTTAAATTTAAAAAATATATTTTTCATCTTAATTAGGGGTAAAAATTTTCAGCTCAACATGATGACACGACTTGAACTCGACACATATTTTATGACACGAACTTGAAAATGACCTAATACGCAATCAAAAAATATAAAATACTCATAATTTTATGACTCAATACGAATTTAACACGACATAACTCAAGTGTCACCCCTAATATTAGACAAAAAAAAATAAAAAAAAAAGGTTATTTTTATTTTTCATCCTTTTAACCAAACACAAAGGAAGGAAAGTGTATCATTCTTACTTTCCATCTTTGAAGAAAAAAAAATGTATTTCTCCTGTTTTTTATCCTTTCTATTTTTCTTTCTTTCAATAAACGGAGCATAAAAAATTTAATACATTTTAAAGTTGAGCACTAAAAAAATTGTAATTTTTAGTGATTTATAATCAATTATGCGCGCATATTATGACGTGGTGTAGTTAGCAGCTTCCACCAAGATTCCTTAGGTAGAAAACCAAAGCCTCACGTTTATTTAACCAATTTGGTCCAATCTTACTCCACCCATTTTGATTCTACCCAGGCTGAATCAATTCCAAATGAAACGGGTCATTAAATGAATAGATCAACAAAAATTTGTTTAAACACAACACGATCCATCAATAATAATTTGCACCCAAGTCATATACCACAACAACTAAACATAATATTGTGTGGTATCACAATTTGTTCAAGATATATCGACTCATGTGTGTTCATTTATAGTCAGATACTCATTATATATAAATTAGACTCGATTTGAAAAGCGTAAGCGGATTAAATATTATATTATATTATTTTTTATTTAATCATGTTTAATACTTTATTTGGTAATTAAATTTGCTACCGTATTAATTTCAAAAACGTTTATTAATCATATATTTATTGTATTTTTGGTACGATAGACCTGTATTTGTAGGTATTTTAATACCACTAAGAGAGGTGATAGTATAATTCAATTCAAACGTATTATTCTACGCATTTATTATTATAACTCTCCAACAGATGAAATCAAATTGTCATTATTATAACAAACCTTGATAGAGGGTATTGTTGTTAATTCAACATTAATACGATGAAATAATTCTCTAACCAAATTAAATAAATACTATTCAACTTGTGTATTATCAAATACTAGATAAAATTACGAATTATTTTAATACCTTATTTAATCTTGTCTTTTATCCATCTGCATTGTATTAAACTAAATTACTTTATCCAATTCATCCATTTCTAATACGACAATCAATCGAATCCCCTATGTATAAGTTGTGTTTAATTAGATTATGTCGTGCTTAGATCGATTTGTATCGACTCATTTATTTTATAAGTTTAACGAGTTTACCCATTTAATTACTAACCAAATCAAAGTAAGAATCAATCGAAGCCAATTAACTCCGTGTTGATAAAAATCATCAGCCAAAATATATTAATGTTTTTTAAATTATAATCTTAAGATTAAAATAACAAAACCACTTGTTGTAATCCTTTTGTGATGATATGACACAGAGTACGAGTTGCAAATGAGTTGGGTCCAGGCGATGGAAAAGGGTGCCAAGTTTTCTACGATAGTGGCGGCGACGACATCACTGTTGATTGGATTATGATTTTTCACAGTGAAAGCGCCCAAATATTCACATCTAGCAAACCTGTCCTAAAAGCAGTAAACAAGCTCTACATTCTCTTATCTTTCACCATTCTCCTAAACAGTGTTCAAACTGTTCTTTCTGGTACGTAAACTGTTTATCTCATTCAACTTTATTTCCTCCGCGACAAGTTATTATTTTTTATACAAATTGTCCATCGAAATTTAATTTTATTGTTTAAACGACTAAATTAAAATATCAAACTACTTCAATTAAAGATAAAATATATTATGTCCGTTATAGTTTGACCCCTTATTTTTTTTTTTTAGTTTTAATACATAGTATAATTATATACTAATTATAATTTTAGATTAATTGCGGTTGTGGTCCCCCAAAGTATTTATTTTGTCTTATTTTGGTCCCCAACCTTCTAATTTCATCAAATTGGTCTCCAAATTATTACATTTGCACTTACCTAGTCCCCACAGTCCAGATTTCTGTCTATTCATAGTCATGTGCCATCCACATGACCCAGCTGAGGGGCTATAATGTCATTTACCCTCCTGCTATTACTGGAGGCAAGTTGATCAGTAGACTCTTCGATGTCTTCAGTCACTTGTTTTACAAACCAGAGCTTCAGTTGGGCAAATCACAATTAGGGCAAAACACGATCACCATTACGGCAATGCAGAAGACCATTAGGGCAAAGCACCAAGATGATACGTTCCAAATGACGGAAGACTGGAAATCAATATGCAGATGAAGACATTCCCCATTATGGTATGTACTCATTCTTATAGATTTGAGTCTAAGGTTCATGGGTAAGAATGATTTGTAAAAGTCGATATTCAATATTATATAGTTTATGTGTTTGTTCGAAACCGTGTGTTTATGCATTGGAAACTCTTTGTTAATAGTTTGTATAAGTTGCAATTTTTTTAAGTTGATGTGGCCCTTGAAAACCATTTGTTTATGCATTGGAAACTGTTCAATGATAGTTAATGTGTTAGTTACAATATTTTATAATTGATGTGGTCTTTGAACAAGATCTTATTATACAACAGTCACAATGGAGAATCATCAGGTTAATGGTGATGTCTCAGTTGATAAAGGGAAAAGGGTAGTATCAGAGTCTGATGCATCAGACAGTGAATACGAACCTGATTGTGAATCTAGTGAATGTAGTGAGTATGATACGTTGGTTGACAGTGATTATGAAAGTGTGAGAATGATAACATGTTGTATAATAGTTATGTTGATAATGAAACTGAATGGACTGATTTGAATAGTAATAGACAGAAAGAATCAGCAACAGACAAAAGACAACAGTTAGAACTCAGTGATACAGATGGTGATTCTGAGGAGATTTTAAGCTGCTTCAGTTCATCTGATAGAGATAATCATGCAAAAAAACATAAAAAATTTGAAGTTTTTAGGGCAGAAAATGATGAGGAAGACCCACATTTTAAACTGGGCATGTTAATTAGTACATATGAGGAGATCAAGAATGCCATTAGACAACATGCTATCAAACATCAGACAAATGTGAAATTAGTAAAAAAATGATAAAAGGAGGGTGAGGGCAAAATGTGAAGGGGGCTGCAGTTGGCTAGTTTATGCTTGTAGAGTGCATGGTGAGAAAACATACCAAATAAAGACATACATTGGTAAGCATACATGTAGGAAAACTTATAATAACATAAGTGTCATCTCAAAGATGATAGCATTGAAGTATATGGATGAACTAAGGGTCAACCCTTGTTGGCCTATAAAGGCTTTTAAAAGAGAATTATGAGAGATTTTCATGTTGATGTATCAAGGAATCAATTGTATAGAGCAAAGAAAATGCCAATGTTGTTGATACATGATGATGAAATTGAAGAATATGGTAGATTGTGGGATTACTGTGAGGAACTAAGGAGGACTAACCCTGGTTCCACAATTATCTTGGATGCACCTGGTGATGAGGAAAATGGTGAACTTATATTTCAAAGGTTTTATGTATGTCTTGTAGCATGTAAGAGTGGATTTCTTCAAAGGTGCAGGAAAGTGATTAGATTAGATGGTTGCCACCTGAAAGGGGCATATAGTGGACAATTGTTGACCCTACTGTTGGGATTGATGCCAATGATTCTATGTTTCCCATTGCCTACTGTATTGTTGAGATTGAGATGAAAGAATTATGGGCATGGTTCTTAACAGTACTATGCACTGACTTAGGCATAACTAATCAAAACCATGAGCAGTGGACCTTCATCACTGACAGGCAAAATGTATGTTTGCATGTTTATTTCTTTATCAGTTTAACTGCATTATCCATGTTTAATTATTGTATATTCTGTGTAGGGTTTGCTTCCAGCATTGACTGAGAGAGTACCAGCATCTAAGCATAGGCATTGTGCTAGGCACATGCTAAACAATTTCATTAAACACTTTAAGGGATTGAGTATTAGGAAGAAATTTTAGAAATGTGCTGGGGCAACTTATGTTTCAAATTTTGACTATGGGATGCAAATGGTGAAAGAAGAAGATGAGAAGGCATTTGATTGGTTGGCCAATGAGCCACCAAGGTATTGGAGTAGGTCACACTTCAGAGAAGAACTTAAGTGTGATATTTTGTTAAACAATCTATGTGAGAGCTTTAATGGGGCAATTATAGAGGCAAGGGATAAACCCATCATAAAAATGGTAGAATGGATTAGATGCTATTTAACTCAAAGAATGTTGAAGATGAGAGAATGGGTTAGGAATTGGCATGGTGATATATGCCCTAAGATTCAAAAGAGATTAGAGAAATGGAAAAGTGGTAGCTTTGATTGTATTGCTGAGTGGCATGGTGAGTTGAAGTTTGAGGTAAGGAGTATGAATGGAGACCAATACACAGTTGATTTGAAGGAGCAGTCTTGCTCATGTAGGAAATAGGACTTGACAGGGATCACATGCCCACATGTCATTGCTTGCATTCAAAATAGGGGACAACAACCAGAAGATTATATTATTGGGCAATACAAGAAAGGGGCATTCATGCAGGCTTATGAACTAATTATAAACCCCATTAATGGACATAAGATGTGGCTTAAAAGTGGATTGACCCCATCATTGCCTCCATTGATCAGGAGACAACCTGGTAGGCCAAAACAATTACGGAGGAAGGAACCAGATGAGTTGATTAATAAAAAACAACCACACAAGTTGATGAAATGTGGAAATGTGTTAGTTAATTGTAGGAGATGTGGTCAAAATGGGCATAACAGAAGGATTTGTACTGTTACACTATCAGAAGGAAGCCAAGGTGAAGGGAGCCAAGCTGTTATTATCCAAGCTGGAGTGAGTCAACCTGCTGTGAGCCAATCTGATGTGAGCCAAGGTGGAGGGAGCCAAGCTGTTGTTATCCAAGCTGGAGTGAGTCAACCTACTGTGAGCCAATCTAATGTGAGCTAAGGTGGAGGGAGCCAAGCTACTATTATCCAAGCTGGAGTGAGCCAATCTGCTGTGAACCAAGGTGGAGGGAGCCAAGCTGCTATGAAAGGAAGGTCTTGCTTTGAACAGGTAAATAATTTCATTGAACTTATTGGACTTTTTGGCAAGTAGTAAACAATTTCATTGAAAAGCATTGGCTCATAGCTTACCTTTTTCTCTATATAGCTTCAAGGTTCAACCATTGGTTCACCATCAACAAGCACCCATAACTTCAAGGTTCAACCATTGGTTCGTATGCAAAGGGATAAAATACCATTCAGGAGGAGCAAATGAACAAGAACCCATGCAGCTTCTCTTTTTTTTTTTTTTGGAGCCAATGTAAATGTGTTGCTCTCTTTTGGGTTTGTGATGAGAATCTAAATCTGGCTTATATGTAAATGTGTTGTTATCTTTTGGGTTTGTGATGTAAATGTACTCTTTCTTGCTCTCATTTTGGGTTTGTACTGAGAGACGAACTTGTAACTATGGACATCTTTTTGTCACAACTAACAGGTTGTTACCTTAATGAAAATTAGCATTATGACAATCTGTTGTTTGATGCTAACAGGTTGTTTGTGTAGTCAACACTATTTACAGGGATTTATGGATATGTCATAGTAGTGCTGTGGCTTTTTTGCATTAGTAGTAGTTATGATTAATCGAGAATGACATGGGAGTAAACAGGGCACATTCAAACTCATAAGTTTGCGAATATTGAAAAATACCTAACCCTTAACAGGTAGTTTTGATACAAACAGGTTGTTACACTTCCAATTACATCAAACATAATAATTATATTTACATAAAATGTCACTTTCACAGGGCACCATCCTACACAAAAACAGGGTACCCTCCTACACAAAAATAGAGCACCCTCCTACATAAAAACAGGACACCCTCCATAGACAAACAGGGCACTACTACCTATAGGAAATGCCACACCCAAGTGAAAATAAAAAATGTCCAAGAACAGAAAAGAGCAACCCATAATAATTTTTTCCTAGCTTTTGCCTTTCGTTGTTGGTTCTCCTGTCTTTGCTTTGATCGCAACAATCCGAGTATCACTTGCTTTACTCTATCGCACATTGGCGAATCATACCAAGCAAAAAATCCACACCCTCCAACCTCTTACAAATGCAACATTTTGTTAAATGCATTCAAAATAGAAAACTCAGTAACAAAATCCAGAACATTTTGTTACCTCATATCTTTCACATCCAATGAACCTTCTTCCTGGGTTGGTATCGGTCCATGAGGTCCTCACTTTGGCTATTTTTCTACAGTGGCATGGTGTTGCTAGCATTCTAGCCGCTACTGCCTTTCCTTCCCTTCCCCTCATTTTCTCCCTCTCTTCTCATATGCTCTATAATAGAAAATGGATCTTCTAGATATACCTGATGGCGGGAATGTTTCCCTCCGGTAATAGAAGGAGGGTAAATGACATTATAGCCCCTCAGCTGGATCATGTGGATGACACATGACTATGAATAGACGGAAATCTAGACGGCTTCAACGGCGGGGACTAGGTAAGTGCAAATGTAATAATTTGGGGACCAATTTGATGAAATTAGAAGGTTGGGGACCAAAATGAGACAAAATAAATACTTTGGGGACCACAGCCACAATTAATCCTAAATACAAACTTGTCAGATATAAAGGCTAACTTAAAATCATTCTTGCTAAGTAAGGAACCGAACACTAGATTCTTGTGAATATCAGGGACATGAAGTACTTCGTTCAAGGTGAGTTCCTTATCGAATGTCATCTTGAGTATCACCTTGTCACTTCCTTCAACCTTAGATGTAGAGGAATTTTTCATATAGAATTGTTCATCATTCTTTAGTTTTTTATAAATAGAGAACATCTATTTTTTACAATAAATATGCCAAGTAGCGTCAGTGTCCACCCACCACTCCTTGAGGTTATCCACTAAGTTGCATTCTAAACAACTACAGAGAGATTCATGACATTGATTCCTATAAAAAGTTTGTTCAATTCAGTCATGTTTGCTTGAGCATTAGGCTTCTTGAAATTTCTTGGCTTACGAGAGTCTTTTGAAATATGTCCCCTTGAATTTCTTCAAACCTTTATTTAGACCCTCGCCATTGTGCTTCATTTTTTTATTAGTTTTGGTTCCACTTTCAACTATGTTGGCCTTAGATTATATGGAATTAAAAACTACACTTTTCTTTTCGGAGTTACAATTTTTCTTTTCGATCCTCAAGCGAACAATTAAATCTTCAACTTTCATATCTATGTGCTTATACTTGAGATTATTCTTGAAATCCTTCCACAGGGGTGGTAATTTCTCCACAATCGCAGTCACTTGGAATAACTCATTAATTAAAGACATACCCTCAACATGGATGTTATAAAGGATAACTTGAAGTTTTTGAACTTGAGATATGATAGTCTTAGAATCCACCATTTTAAAATTTAAGAATTTACCGATAATGAACTTCTTCATGCCGATATCCTCGGTCTTGTACTGTTTGTNTCCACTAAGTTGCATTCTAAACAACTACAGAGAGATTCATGACATTGATTCCTATAAAAAGTTTGTTCAATTCAGTCATGTTTGCTTGAGCATTAGGCTTCTTGAAATTTCTTGGCTTACGAGAGTCTTTTGAAATATGTCCCCTTGAATTTCTTCAATCCTTTATTTAGACCCTCGCCATTGTGCTTCATTTTTTTATTAGTTTTGGTTCCACTTTCAACTATGTTGGCCTTAGATTATATGGAATTAAAAACTACACTTTTCTTTTCGGAGTTACAATTTTTCTTTTCGATCCTCAAGCGAACAATTAAATCTTCAACTTTCATATCTATGTGCTTATACTTGAGATTATTCTTGAAATCCTTCCACAGGGGTGGTAATTTCTCCACAATCGCAGTCACTTGGAATAACTCATTAATTAAAGACATACCCTCAACATGGATGTTATAAAGGATAACTTGAAGTTTTTGAACTTGAGATATGATAGTCTTAGAATCCACCATTTTAAAATTTAAGAATTTACCGATAATGAACTTCTTCATGCCGATATCCTCGGTCTTGTACTGTTTGTTCAATGCTTCTAAGCATCCAAATTTTTCACATTAGTTTCATTCTCATCAAAGTGAAGGAACATATTCATTGAGAAACTTTGCAAGGTTTAAGGTGGTGAGATAGAAAAACATATTAGATTGCCAACTTTTAAAGTTCGAGCCATTGAACTTTTTGGGCTTCTTCCCGTGAAACACATTCACAGTAGTAGGAATAACTGTTGTACGAACAACAGTAGGAGAAATACAATCATTTGTAGTAGCCCATTTCTGTTATACAAACATAAGCAATACAAGTCTTGTTTTAATTATATAAAGCACTACTAATTTAAATTAATCATACAAAATCTGGTTTAAATACTTTAAAATAGTAAACTAACATAATGCAAAATTATGTTTTCAATTTGGGGACAAGGGGCCAAGGCGCGCCTACCATAGGAGGAAGGTGCCAACAGTGAGGGTCAAAGGGCGCCTATCAAGGAGGAGGGCGCCAACAAGTGCTCTTGGAGGGTACCTACTTTGGGAGAGGGTGCCTTTGGAGGGGTGCCTACTTTTGGGAAGAGGGTGTCTCTTAGAGGGCGTCACTAAAAAATAAAAGAACACAATTTTGTTTTTAATTTAAAACAACGTATTGAATACCAGAAGCAGAATACAAAATTCTGACTTTAACACAACTGTATTAGATTATAACAATATGTAATATAATTATATAAGAAAGTCATAAAACACATAAATTTGTATTAAGATTGTTATCCGAAATATTGTGTATATAATTAGATATAGGAAACTTAATAACTGTTACAAATCTAAAATAGAAAGCCTATTGTTTAAAATAAAATAATGCACTCACATGGACGCAGAACAACAACAACGATTAGAACCAGAATAAATAAAGAATAAATATGAGCCATATATCCACAGTCTTCTTAAGAAAAATTTGCTCCTTCTAGGTACTCAAGGTTAATGAGCAATTGTTTCCTAAAATAGAACGGATTTACGTTCTTGGAGAAACGACACATCAATCTTCAAGACTCTAACGAACATAATTTTGTGCCTTGTACTTGAACTAATTAAGAAGAACAACGATGAAACAATATGTATGCAGAGGGAGAGAAGTATGAAAGACAGAAGAATTGTTCCTAAATTTCGGTGTGTTACAAATAGCAGTAGGGGTTGCCTTTTTATAAACTCCAGTCGCCTGTTTACTAAAATTGAATAGGTAAATGATGTTATTGTTCGTCATACTTGTTCATAGGCACTCTGGACGACGACAATTACATGACACGTTTTAAAAATTAATTTAAAAAACAGTTGAATCAAACACTAGAAGATGAAGACAACAAACTGCGAGGTAAGGCGAGACGACCAGGGGAAAGAAATCCCAAGGTAAGGCGCCAAAGCCATGGGACCCACTTGCCAAGGGGAGGGGCGTCCCCAAAAACCTTGGGCGTCACCTGCGGGCTCCTCTGTTTATTTCATCTACTACTTTAATATGATCTATTTTTTATTCAATTTCAAATCCAAAAATTTGGTCAATTATACAAATACAAAATAATAATTTTTTAGACATAATTTTGATGTGTGAATTTCATTTTATTTATTTTTCATATCTATTNATTATACAAATACAAAATAATAATTTTTTAGACATAATTTTGATGTGTGAATTTCATTTTATTTATTTTTCATATCTATTTTTCCAATGGTTACAACTTCAATTCTTATAAAAGTTAAAAAGTGAAGTACTTTACTAAGGATTAATTACAAAATGCCTCCTCCAAGTTTGAGTCATGTTGCAATCGACTCCCTCAAATTTTAAATTTGACAATTTGCCCCCTTAAAGTTTTTACATGATTAAATTGGTTGACAAAGTGGTTGGAAAATATAAAATTACTAAAATAGCCCCATCCTTTAATATTCTCTTTCTTCTCCTACTAGCCAAAACACACGCACCCTGGCAACCTCACAACCAACTCCGGCGGTCTCCTCAATCTCTGTTACCAACTCCAGCAGCCTCATTATCCAGCGCCCCCAACCTCTTTCCCTAACTACGGTGCCCCTAAACCACCTTCCCCAACTACGACAACCCCCCAAACCTCCTTTACCAACCCCGACAGCCCTCCAAACCCTTCCCCAACTCCAGCGTGTCCCCCCCAACTCCAGCAGTACTCCAACCCCTATACCCATGTCAATTACCCACCAATTGAAACTTGTCCCACCTTTCCTTTTTCTTTCTTCTCCAACCACGACAACCAACAGATCAATTTGTATGAGTGTACACATTTGTAAACTCTCTCTCTCTCTCTCTCGGATAGATTTGTTTTGAGGGCGTTTCACTAGTGGGAGGGGTTTGGTTTGGGAACTAACTGTTACAGGGTGGTGGTGGATTTCACTTATAGAGGGAGTGAGTTCAGTTTTTTATGCTTGGGGATGAGTTTCACCAAAGAAGGAAGAGAATTCAACTATTTCAATTCAGGGCATGGGGTTTACTGAAGGAGGCATGGGTTGGGTCTTCTTACCGGAGGAAAGAGGTTCCATGGGTACTTGTCGGGCTTGTACGATTACTCCAATCCATGTCGATTACTCCAACTCCCCTCTTGCTCCGGGAGTTTCCTACACCATACCCAACGCTGGTAGCTTCCCAAAACCCACCTCCACCAGCCTTTCTCAATACTAGCACAAAGCAAACTCCCAAGCCCCACTTCACAACAACCATTGGATCTAGTCTCGTGTGTGTGTGTGTGTGTGTGTGTATATAAATATATATATATACGAATCAGAGGAGGGAGTGAATTGGGTTTCACCAAAAGAGGGGAAGCAGTCCAGTTGTTCGAGCGTGGTGGGTGGGGCTGGGTTTCACTAGAAGAGGGAGGGAGTTAGGATTTCGCTGGTGCACGTTAAGGTCAAATTGGATTTTTTTTTTTTTTTCAAAACAAAAGATTGAGATGTGGGTAGTTTTATACTTTTGATCAATTTTAGATAATTTTTATATCAAATTTCAGTCATTTTTAACGGTGTCAACTAACGGAGGAGTTAATTGAAAAATATTCTTACATTAAAGGGGCAAATTGTCAAATTTAAAACCTGAGGGAGTCAATTGTAATATGACCCAAACTTGAAGGGACACTTTGTAANTCAATTTTAGATAATTTTTATATCAAATTTCAGTCATTTTTAACGGTGTCAACTAACAGAGGAGTTAATTGAAAAATATTCTTACATTAAAGGGGCAAATTGTCAAATTTAAAACCTGAGGGAGTCAATTGTAATATGACCCAAACTTGAAGGGACACTTTGTAATTAACCCTTCTACTAATGAGATAAGATGGTGTTGACGTAGATAGATCCCATCATTTAAAAAGAATTATAGACCTATCTAACTAATTGAAAATTAGAGCAGGGCCAAACCCAATTTGGCGGAGTGACNCACTTTGTAATTAACCCTTCTACTAATGAGATAAGATGGTGTTGACGTAGATAGATCCCCATTTAAAAAGAATTATAGACCTATCTAACTAATTGAAAATTAGAGCAGGGCCAAACCCAATTTGGCGGAGTGACATGGCTCAACAATTTCTTTCAAAATGACCACATAATTCCAGTAAAATTTGTCATCTGGGTCTGGACGTTTATGATTTATTTTTGCAAGGGATCATGTTGTTCGAGTAAATATATCTTGTATTTATTATTTTGAAGGAAATAACAAAAATTATTTATTTAGTTACACATAAAGTGGCCTTAGATTGAAATATGTACAACAGCAAAGATGACATTTTTTTGGGTCACAGAGCAAATACCAAACTTAAAAAACACTAGTGTTGCAAAGCTTAAATTACAATAATGCTGAAGTCGTCATTTCTACAGAGTCTAAAACCATAAAAGAAAACTTCTCTGAACCTAATCTTCCGGATGAAAAGTATTTAGCCGAGTCAGCCGAGTTCATCCTTTCTTCCCCAAACCGAGCCGACTCACTTGCTCTTCTACTTCCAATATTAACCAANCTTTTTGGGTCACAGAGCAAATACCAAACTTAAAAAACACTAGTGTTGCAAAGCTTAAATTACAATAATGATGAAGTCGTCATTTCTACAGAATCTAAAACCATAAAAGAAAACTTCTCTGAACCTAATCTTCCGGATGAAAAGTATTTAGCCGAGTTCAGCCTTTCTTCCCCAAACCGAGCCGACTCACTTGCTCTTCTACTTCCAATATTAACCAACTTCCCAGCCTCTCTGTCTACATCAATCATTTTAATNCCTTTCTTCCCCAAACCGAGCCGACTCACTTGCTCTTCTACTTCCAATATTAACCAACTTCCCAGCCTCTCTGTCTACATCAATCATTTTAATCCTATCCTTTAACTCTCCAATCAAACCCCACAAAGTCTCGGTCGAAGGCTGTTTCATAGTAATGAACACCACCAACCTCTCTTTACAATCCTCTAATCTCTTCAAAGCACACACCAACTCAACCGATTCACCAAAACTCACATAACTCAGTCTCTCCTTGAACTCACCGAGTCGTAACACAACCTCATTTAATGCAGACAAATAATCACCACCTAATAGACCCATGACCTCTTGCAATAATTGGTTACCTTCAACAAGAAGAGAATCTGGTACTTCGCACATGTCTTCGATTACTCTAACCAAAGAATCAACGTCTCTGATTAACTCTGTGTTCATGGATGATGAGACTCTTTCTTCTTCTTTATCTTTCTCTGCAGTCCATGGAGATGAGCATAACAGGAAACCCAAAACCCTAGAAGCGGAAATTAGGGTTTCGAGGTAACGAGCATACCACCTGACCCATGCAGAAAGAGCCCACGTGTCTGCCGTGGCGCCGTCGCGGAAAGCGGAGAGTTTGAGGTAGTTCCGGCCGCCAGAGGAAGGGAAGATGGAGAGTTGGTCTTGGAGGATGAAGGGTCCACGTTTAAGAATGTGGTGGATGGTGAGGAGGCACTTAAGGGCTACGGAGGCGTNATGTGGTGGATGGTGAGGAGGCACTTAAGGGCTACGGAGGCGTTGCGGGTGCGGTTGAGGCGGTTCATGAGGGATTGGATGAGGGCGGAGGCGGTGGCGCGTGAGCTCTCTCCGAGGGAAAGGAGCGTGGAGAGGTAGTCCGGTGCGGTGGAGGGTGAGTGGGTGGTGGCTTTTATGACTGCTTGGTGGAGAGAGAGTTTGCTTGGTTCGGAAATTAGAGCTGCTTTGGATAGTGAAACCTTGTCCTTGATGACTCCTATGAGATCTCTGATTGTTGTTATTCGATCCATGGAGAGAGGAAAGCAAAGCAAAGGACTTTCAAGAGAGAGAGAGAGAGAGAGAGGTACTTAGGTTGTAATTTTGTATTATGGCTGATTATATTCATTATATTGGCGTCTTGCTTTGTATTTGGGGAAAATTTTAGTCCCACCTTCTAATTTATCGTATCTGACATTTTCTCTATTTCTTGAATCGTCAATGACAGTTTTTGTCAGATTAAATGTGTTAATTATAATATAATTTTATTAAATTGTTCATAATAGATAGACATATCTTAAATAAAATTCTCACTATTTTTAAATTTTTATACGTATTAAAATTTTTAAAATTTGAGTCAATTAAAATTTAATTTGACCTAATTAAATTTTATTTTTTATATATTAAAATTTAAGTCTATTAAAAATTATAATTTTTTACGTATTAAAATTTGAGCCGATTAAAATTTTATTTGAGGCAAAATCCCATTAAATTTTAATTGGTCCAATTTTTTATATATAAAAAAATATAAAATTTAATTGACTCAAATTTTAATAAGTAAAAAAAAAAAATTTAATCAACTTGAATCAATTTTAATAAATAAAAATATAAATGTTAATTGATTAGAAGTGAATTTTAATCGGGATTAACAGTTCAAGTAGATCTTAAATTGACTCGAATTTTAATACATAAAAAATAAAATTTAATTAGCTCCAATCAAATTTTAATCGACTTACATTTTAATATGTAGAAAAAAAAATTAGTAAGCTCAAATTTTAATATATAGAAAAATAAATTTTAATCAACTCAGATTTTAATCAAATTTTATATAAAAAGATTGTTTGGAGTTTATATAAGGGCAATTTTGGTATTTTAGATAATTTAATTATTTTATAAATAGTAGTTTAATAGTAGAGAGTGTCAATGATGTTTAAATATAAACTAGAAAGGTTTTAGTGATATTTTTAATAATAAAAAGAGTGTTATTAAAAGATGCTAAACTAAAAAGACTATAATCGAAATTTTTCCAAAATGTTAAAAGCGAAAGAGACATTGCAACTNGGATGGTGAGGAGGCACTTAAGGGCTACGGAGGCGTTGCGGGTGCGGTTGAGGCGGTTCATGAGGGATTGGATGAGGGCGGAGGCGGTGGCGCGTGAGCTCTCTCCGAGGGAAAGGAGCGTGGAGAGGTAGTCCGGTGCGGTGGAGGGTGAGTGGGTGGTGGCTTTTATGACTGCTTGGTGGAGAGAGAGTTTGCTTGGTTCGGAAATTAGAGCTGCTTTGGATAGTGAAACCTTGTCCTTGATGACTCCTATGAGATCTCTGATTGTTGTTATTCGATCCATGGAGAGAGGAAAGCAAAGCAAAGGACTTTCAAGAGAGAGAGAGAGAGAGAGAGGTACTTAGGTTGTAATTTTGTATTATGGCTGATTATATTCATTATATTGGCGTCTTGCTTTGTATTTGGGGAAAATTTTAGTCCCACCTTCTAATTTATCGTATCTGACATTTTCTCTATTTCTTGAATCGTCAATGACAGTNAAGAATAAAACTAATCTACATTCGAGAACCCTAACTTTCAAACCTTGTATCGTTATAAATCATCCATAAGGTCAATGAAATTAAATAAATCATTATCCATTATATTAAGCCTTTTGAGAGAGGCTTCAAGGATTTTTTTTTTTTAATTACGATAAAAAATGTTCGAATTAATTTACATATATCTCGATTAATCTCATTTTTGGTCTGATCAAAGACAGGTCAACCACAATGAGACTAGAGAATTCATGTGAAATAAATATCTCATAATCAGTTCTCAATGAAATTACCAAATTTCAAACTTAGAATGTCTGGGTACAACTCATTCATGTTTCCACTAAGTTATTCCTTGAAGTTATATGCATTGTTGTTTTAATGCCAACGAATGGTGTTTGTATTGAGCAATGCTATTGAAATTTAATTTATTAAATTAACTTACTAAATTTACTATGATCTTTTGATTGACTGTAAATCACATATTTTAGATCAAAATAATATTACTCGTCTGTATTTGATGATGCACAAATCAGTTTTGTGCACTACCGGTCAAGTGATTAGTAATAAATGCAGTAATTAAGTAGAGAGACAGTAAGGAGAAGCACAATGCAGAGTGGTTCGGTCAACATGACTTACATCCACTATGAAAAGCTAGGGTCACCTAGGTATTTTATTACTTCGAGGAGTGAAGAGAGAGCAAGGAGATACAAGCAACTAGAGGGATGAGAATAATAGCATATGTGTTCAATTATGTGTGATGTCCCCCAAGTATTGGCGGGGCTTATAATTTATAATCGTCTCTTAATAGATTGAGACGACTTATCAGTAACTAAGTGGCTAATCTGGTGGAGTTGGCGTCATCTTCTCAACGGATGAGGCAGTTATAGCGCTCTCCATAGTATCCGGTCAAAGGATGACATGGTGGTTGACTTTTTTCAAGGCGACGTGGATGAGGCTCTTGGAATGACCCTACTTTTCTTTGTGATGTAGCTCCTCGAACCCTGATAAGTTTAACTGGGCGTGGACCCTTTTTGGGCTAAACCCTAGATCACTTCAAATTGGGCTATTTATTTAAAGTAGACTTATAACATGGATTGGGCCTTTAGGCCTAACCCATCATTTTCCTCCAATGCCTTGTGTCAAATGAAACTGGAAGAAGAGGGCATTTAGTTGAGCTTAGATTTCGGTTGAAACTAAAGCTGAAAAAATTTTAGAAGGCCCAAACACATGTTTCCAGGCCTTTTTTTAGGCTTTTTACGGTGTCAGTCATAGCCAAAGGCAATAAGTCTTGTAGGGCTCATCGAGAGCTTTAATTTGATAAATTACGGACCCTGTTTGAAAAAAGATATCAAAAGTTATGGTCAAAATAGTATCAACCCTTCTTTGACTAGGATTTTCTTTCCCGTTCTTGATATACTTTATCTTGCTAGGAGTTGTTAGAACTTTTCCCCATTCTAATAGGATTTAAGAACCTAGGCTATAAATAGGGAGTTCCTTCTTGAGATACTTGAGAACCCAGGGCTAGAGATTTTGTTCCTGAGATGAGATCTCAGAAATCAATGTTAAACGAAGGAGGAGAACCCATTGATATCCATGGCAATGGACTGATCGACATTGAGGGAGGCAATTAGAAACTTTGTGTAGTGGTGACCGAAAGAGGGTGTACCGGAGTACAATCTCAGGAGGACATTGGCCAAGCTAGTGTCACCGAAAAGCTGCATAGGCAAACCCCTATAGGCGTTGTTGANGGGTACAACTCATTCATGTTTCCACTAAGTTATTCCTTGAAGTTATATGCATTGTTGTTTTAATGCCAACGAATGGTGTTTGTATTGAGCAATGCTATTGAAATTTAATTTATTAAATTAACTTACTAAATTTATTATGATCTTTTGATTGACTGTAAATCACATATTTTAGATCAAAATAATATTACTCGTCTGTATTTGATGATGCACAAATCAGTTTTGTGCACTACCGGTCAAGTGATTAGTAATAAATGCAGTAATTAAGTAGAGAGACAGTAAGGAGAAGCACAATGCAGAGTGGTTCGGTCAACATGACTTACATCCACTATGAAAAGCTAGGGTCACCTAGGTATTTTATTACTTCGAGGAGTGAAGAGAGAGCAAGGAGATACAAGCAACTAGAGGGATGAGAATAATAGCATATGTGTTCAATTATGTGTGATGTCCCCCAAGTATTGGCGGGGCTTATAATTTATAATCGTCTCTTAATAGATTGAGACGACTTATCAGTAACTAAGTGGCTAATCTGGTGGAGTTGGCGTCATCTTCTCAACGGATGAGGCAGTTATAGCGCTCTCCATAGTATCCGGTCAAAGGATGACATGGTGGTTGACTTTTTTCAAGGCGACGTGGATGAGGCTCTTGGAATGACCCTACTTTTCTTTGTGATGTAGCTCCTCGAACCCTGATAAGTTTAACTGGGCGTGGACCCTTTTTGGGCTAAACCCTAGATCACTTCAAATTGGGCTATTTATTTAAAGTAGACTTATAACATGGATTGGGCCTTTAGGCCTAACCCATCATTTTCCTCCAATGCCTTGTGTCAAATGAAACTGGAAGAAGAGGGCATTTAGTTGAGCTTAGATTTCGGTTGAAACTAANAGTTGAGCTTAGATTTCGGCTGAAACTAAAGCTGAAAAAATTTTAGAAGGCCCAAACACATGTTTCCAGGCCTTTTTTTAGGCTTTTTACGGTGTCAGTCATAGCCAAAGGCAATAAGTCTTGTAGGGCTCATCGAGAGCTTTAATTTGATAAATTACGGACCCTGTTTGAAAAAAGATATCAAAAGTTATGGTCAAAATAGTCTCAACCCTTCTTTGACTAGGATTTTATTTCCCGTTCTTGATATACTTTATCTTGCTAGGAGTTGTTAGAACTTTTCCCCATTCTAATAGGATTTAAGAACCTAGGCTATAAATAGGGAGTTCTTTCTTGAGATACTTGAGAACCCAGGGCTAGAGATTTTGTTCCTGAGATGAGATCTCAGAAATCAATGTTAAACGAAGGAGGAGAACCCATTGATATCCATGGCAATGGACTGATCGACATTGAGGGAGGCAATTAGAAACTTTGTGTAGTGGTGACCGAAAGAGGGTGTACCGGAGTACAATCTCAGGAGGACATTGGCCAAGCTAGTGTCACCGAAAAGCTGCATAGGCAAACCCCTATAGGCGTTGTTGAAGGCAGGGTGCCATGGGCACCACTGGTTAGAGGTCGAACTGAATACAAGGGAGGCACTGAAGGCGAGGTGCTGCTCTAAGGGACTGAGGTGTTGCGTCTAGGCTACGGGCATCATGGGCGTCGTTGAGCATGGTGGAGGCACTGATAGCATCGGCGGGCAAGCCCCCATAGGCACTTTTGAGGCCGGGGCGCCTGGCATTCTTGAGCTAGGCTCTACGAGCGCCCTCTATCAAGGCACCATGGGCAACCTCAAGCGAGGTGCCAAGGGCAACCTCAAATGAGGCACCACAGGTGTCGTGTGGCGAGCTAGTGGGGTCCCAGTCTGGTAGGGCTGATTGTGGATCTAATCCGATGCTCCTTAGTGTTAGGCAAGAATTGACGGTCGTGAGGGAGGCGTCGATAGGTACTGGGCATAACCAGGCAGGCACACAGGCAGTTCTAATGGGTACTAGGCGCAGTCAGGTGGCATCGCATGTAGTTGGGTCCTTGTCATTGGGTGAAGTCAAGTATGGTGGAGGAGGGCGCTAGGCATGGATCTTCGAGAGTGCCAGAGGAGAGCTCGCTGGGAACTTTTAGTGGTGCTAATTTTGGTAAAACGGCGGATGATCTGGCTCATTCAAGTAGAGATTCACGGAGTCAAGTCTCTCCTGGTAGTGGCTCAAGCAATGTTTCACTTCGCCCTCGCCATAGTAAGCAGCGAAGAAAGGTAACCCTTGACGATGACGGATCTAAGGTAAGTACCATCTCTAGTACTCTTAACATTGATGAGGATATTTTGTGGATTGTCTCTACTTATAACATTCTTCCAACGGTACTGTGTCGTGGAGCTGATATGGGCGAGCGTGCTTATGATGACTCATCTAGAGACATTTCTATTTATGAGGAGGTGCTTAAGGCTAGGCTCAGGTTCCCAATGTCTTCTTCTATTTGTCGTATTCTGCATTGTTTTTCACTAGTGCTAGGGCGTTTGACGCCCAATGGTTGGAGAGTTTTGTTGAGGTTTCTGAAGCTGTGGAGAAAAGTGCATCATGAGGATACTTCTCCTGAAGAATTCTGTGCACAGCTTATACTTTGAATGAGACTTTTGCTCCCAATCGTAGTTGGTACTACTTTGCTCCAAGAGGAGGTAAATTGATCACCAGATTGCGCTCTAACTACCATAACTAGAAGACTAGCTTCATGTTTGTTGGCGGAGAGTGGGCTTCAGAGTCTGATAGAGCTTTGGTACCAATAAAATGGGCCATTCCTAATAGAATTGGTACGCCCACACTTACTCTCTTTCCTGCTCCATTTTTGTAAATGTGTACTCACCACATCCCTTGCAGGTTCTCCTATGCTCTCGAAAGACTAAGAGTGGAAGTTACAGGCTGTAAGAGCTCACCCTGTAAAGGACTTTGGAGGTCTCATGCTCAAAGAGGGTGGAGCTAGAGGCTCTCCTACAGTCGGTGCTAGGGCTGGTGAACCTTCTCCGAGACCCAGCAGTTCCTCTTTGAAGTGAAAGGGTATGTTGATTCCCTCGTCTTCTCCTCCTTTACTTGGTTTTTATTAAGGTAACCCTTTTCTCCTTCTCCTGTGGACAAGACTATGATAGAGTCCAGTTATTCCACTAGGGGCACTCCTCCTTCTAAGGTGGCAAGAGTGAGTGATGCTTTGGTAGGCTCCTCTAAGATGACTCATACAATGGTGCCTCAGTCAGCGACTCCTTCAGATTTGATCGTCACTGCGGAGACTCGCCTTTCGACCACACCTGCTACCCCCCGTTCATCAACTCTTCCTATGGGAACTTCTACCGGAGCACCTACTCAGATTGGCTCCATGTTGGGTGATGTGCGAGTCATCTGGGAGTTACTTGGGAGGTTTGTGTTCCCGACAGACGTTAATGAGACTAGTGCCCGAGGCACCAAGGGTGTTATTGACACTTTTTTTAGAAGGTCTAGCTCGGTCTGTTTTCTCCCTTTATCCAGTCCCTCCTTAAGCACTAACATTCTTTTGCCTTCCCCAGGTTTCAACTACCTCTGTATGTTTTTTTTCAATAGCTTTTTATTATAGCCAACTGAAGCGGAGTCATGAGGCTGTACAAAAAGAGCTTTTTATTGTTCAGGGGAGGATTGTTGAGCTTGAAATTAATGGTAGGGCTTCCCAGGCTGAGCTTGTGGTGACCCATGAGAGGGTCGCGCTCAAAGAGGCTACTTGTGCGAGCGCTAAAGTAGAGCTTTTGGCAACCCGCGAAAAGGTGGCTAAGCTTGAGGCTGAGCTTTTGACGACCCGTGAGAGGGATGTGCTCAAGAGGTTGAGCTTGTGGCAACTAGCAAGAGGGGTGCGCTCAGAGAGGCTGCTTGCTTGAGAGCAAGGGTAGAGCTGAAAGCAGCTCACGAAAGGGCTTTTCGGGCTGAGGCGAATCTATTTTTGGCTCGTGAAAAGACCATCAAGGTTGAGGGTGATTCAGAGAGTGACCTTGTAGATACTTTCATTGACGGTTACGAGGAGTTTCAAGAAAAAATTTATGTTGTTTTTCCTGATATCGATCTTTCAGACTTCGTGCCATATGAGGCGCCTGCTGATGGTGATGGTGGCTCTGACGATGCAGAGGGTGAGGAAGAGGAGGAGCACGACCATAAAAGCAGTTAGAGTGGAGACTTTTGATTTTTTTTTTTTTTTTGTAGCAAGATAGCGTGTAGCCTCACTTTTGTAAAAGTGATTTTTTTTTTTTGCCACTAATGTTCCTTTGAAATGGAATGCCAAAATGCAAAGATATTTTGGAGTAAATTTAGAAAGTTTGATTCGATGACTGCTCATGCTAAGCAATGGTGGGTAATAACCCAAAAGAGTTACAATAAAATCAAGTTCTTCAGCTTTACTACTTCTATTCTCCTAAAGTGTCATTGGTAATACCTTTTCAAATGTTCAACATTCCAGGGATGGGGTAAAATCTTTCCTTCAGAATTCTGGATCTTGTAGGTGCCTAACATTACTACTTCTGTTATGAGGTAGGGTCCTTCCCATTTTCGTCCAAGCTTTCCTTCTCGCGGATCATTCGTGGCGATAATCACTTTCTTGAGAACTAAATCTCCTAGTTATAAGGAACAAAACTTCACCCTTGAGTTGTAGTACCTCGTCATGCGGCGCTTGTACTCTGCATTGCAGACCATAATCATTTCCCTTACCTCATCCACCAAGTAAAGGTTGACGCAGAATTCTTCCTTGTTGGTGATAGGATCATGGTGTTGGACCCTTTGAGAATGAATCCCGATCTCCACGAGGTTTTCCCCAAGTTCAGTCCCCCTTAAATATTAATTTCATAACCTAATCACTTTTAAACTTAATTCTCAAACCCAATTTTTTTTAAAAAAATATCATTTGAAATGACGCCTTCTCACTTGAAAACATCATTTGGAATGACGATTTCAACATGAATTTTTTTTTTCTAAAATGTCATTAAGAATGACATTTTTAAAGTTGTCATTCTTCATGACGATTTGTTACAAGAATTTTAAATGGAGCCTAACAGATGTTAAAATAATAAAAGGGTTCGTCATTTACAATGACATTTTTAAAACCGTCAACGTTAGGTCAGACCACTTAAATTTAACATATCTGGCTACTCCTATTTAAATTAATTTCAAACCACTTATTCAGACCACATCATCCTTCTCCTTCTCCTCCTCCTCCTCAACCACTCTCAGCAAGAGAAGACTCCGGCGAGCTCCATCCATCGACTTCAACAAAGCCACCCCAGCGACCACAGCCTCTACCAGCGAACACATCCAACACTAGCGACCACAGCCTCCACCAGCGACTTCCACCCGAGAGCAAAGCCTCCACCAGCGTGCACAGTGCTCCACCAGCGACTTCAACAAAGAGACTGACCACATCCTCCACCACCGACTGAGCAGTGAGTACATTCCTCATTCTCCATATTTGCCCTAAATATTTTTTACCCAAAATCAATTTTTGCCATAAATCGATTTAATTGATGCTAATCCGGCGCTTAACCCCTCCAATCAAACCCTAGCGCAACTCAAACCATAGAACAGTCATTAAAACCTGTTCTTTGTTCCAGATTCTGCTAAGAAGAAATGTCAGAGAGGAACCCAAGGACCCCTACTGGTCGGTATATACATTCCATATGTATGTACGTGTGTGGGTGTGATTTTATATGTTATGTGTTTTTGAATTTGATGGAATTGGTTTAGTTGAATGATTTTGACAAGGTGGTAGACCGAGAGAATTGTGGAAATTTATGGGTTTTATTTGAATCCAGTCGTTTTATAAATTCTTGTTGTCACTATAGGCTTGTGAAGATGGGAACTCTAAATAAATTCAACATGACAAACAATTTTTTAATCTGAGTCCATGCAGCCAGCGTACACTTCCTGCTGTTTCTCTGCATCTGCCTTTACATGGTTTAATCCACAATGATGACCGAAAGGGGAGACATAAATCCCTCTATAATTTGTTTAGGGGATCATCACGAAATCAACCCGTTAAAATCCTTGAATCTATATGAGAAATCAATTCCTAGCTTTTTTGTAAATATGCCGTACATGAATATTATATTTGAAAAAAATTGTTTACCCACACCATTCAAAATGTGGTATGTAAGGCTAGGTGAAGCAGATTGGACGCAAATTTTAATTTTTCAGTACATCGGTTCATCCTGTTGAAGCTCACATCACAGGCGTTTTGAGAATTTTTACTGTCGTATAGGTATTTATCAGAGCAGTCGACTACAAACAAAAGACTCAGCTAAGCCTTCTCTAAATGTCAAGCAGAGGCGAAATGGGTTTGGGCACAATTTTGTTAAGTTATATTTACACAAACCAAATTGATATATGTACAATGTAGTTTTGAAGTATAACTAGCTTTGACAGCAAACTGTAATGTGAACCAATCCATGCTATGATTCCATTTCATGGTGTTTTGTTTCAGTAATGATTCTGGCAGTTTAACACAGTGGTTAGTCATATGTCGTACATTTTGATTAATTTGTAACTCAATATAATTTGTGTTTCATGGACGATAGTGTACATGTGCTAATATTTCTTTGATTTCTATTTTAAAAAATGCTGTTTTTATTCTGAACATTGTTCGTATACGATAACGTGTATATGTTGAAATTTTTTTGAAAATATGTATTTTGAGAAAATTTTATTGATTTTTGTTTTAAAAAAGAATATATAGAAATTAATTTCAAATTATATAATTAAAGAATGAAAAATAAATGTTATTTAATATAATGGAATTAATTTTTTCGACACTCGAATTATATGTTATTTTTTCAGCTAATGTTGTGTCATTCTTGATGGATTACTAGATTGGATATCGTGATGGTCTCATGATGGGGAAAGAAGCATCTGCACAAGAGGGGTTTAATATTGGCTTCAGGGAATCCATGTCTGTTGGGTTCAACTGGGGTTTTGTCAAAGGCGTTACTAGGTAAGCAAGAAATTGGACTTTATTTTGCTTTACAATAGACTTTGTTTCCTGTTTTCTTATTTTGGTTCCAATGTTTTATTATTGCTTTCTTCTTGTGTAACCTTGACACGGTGCTCTAGATTGCCTTCTGGATGGATTGAGTGAAAGGTTGGTTGGAATGCAGGAAAAGAGAAACAAGTTCCTATGCTTGTATGAATCCGTGCATTCTCTTTCAACGACAAGTGCACTGAAATTGTTCAATGATAAGCTGACAAACAAATCAGTTGAACATAATCATAATGCGGAGTCCAGTTCCCACACAGCTGATCTGCATGATCAGAGGTCGGATGGCATCTTTTGGAAAATTACTACAAAAAGCTTCAGTCGCTTATTCTTGAATCTCCTGCACTCAAAATGGATTCAGAGATACACCAGCAGAGGCTTTTAGAAAAGAAATTAAATGGTTTATACTTATTACTACAGAGGGATAGGAGAATTGGAGAGGAGTGGGGTTCAAGCTGCCTTCAGCAGCCGTGGTAATTTATATGAACTTGTAGAACTGGAGTCTATTGTAGAGAAATGTGATTCACTCTATCTTGATTAATTTTCATATTCACAATTCATTACTGATAATTTAAATTGAGATCTTACAACAATATCTTTCTTACAGATATAGGGTGATATAGCTCAATATTTTAGCATAAACATACAAGAAATGCTAAGTACTTATAAATATTCATACTTGGATGTTACCATTCCCTCAGGCAACAGCAAACAGTTGATAGATACATCATTGAAGAATTTGAACACCACAATTTTTCTTATCACCACAGTTTACAATACCCACAGGCTCCTCCGGATTGGGATGTTTTTGTGACGTGAGAAGTGAGATTATAATATTGAGATTTTTAACATATACAAAACATACTTTTTGATATAGAAGTGTGTTTTCAAAACACTCTTTTTAAGTTTTTTTATTAAATATATGTTTTACTAATATGTTTTTATATTGAAAAATATGAAATTAAATTATGCTTTTATGAATTTTATTTTTGATTATAAAATAAGTTCAAAATTTTTATGAAAATGGAATTAAATTCTAAAATTTATTTAATCTTTTATTTTTTGTCTAGTGAATCATGATGTGAGACATAAGGTGGGATTATTTAGCTTTTATGAAATTTATTACAAGTGGGTGGCTGGAGACTTTTGGCTAAAAAAACGTCAATGAAGGCTAAGGGGTAGAAAACATCAATGTAAAAGGCTTAAGGATAGAAAATGTCAATATAAATGCTAAGGGGTAGAAAACGTGTTTAAACAAAAAAGGAATAAAACGTCATTGTAAATGACGTTTTTAACCCCTTAATTTTTTTTAAACGTCTGTTAGCCTCCGTTAAAAATTCTTGTTACAAAACGTCATTTTAAATGACGACTTTAAAAACATCATTTGTAACGACGTTTTAGGAAAAAAAAATTTCAAATGACGTTTTTAGGGGAGAAGACGTCATTTCAAATAACATTTTTAAAAAAAGACTGGATTTGAGAATTAAGTTTAAAAGTGACTGGGTAATGGAATTAAGTTTTGAGCGAGACTGGGTTTGGGGAAAAGCTCCGATCTTCGCAGGTATGATTGTCTCAGTTCCAAAGGCGAGGAAAAATAGAGTTTTTCCAGTTAGAGCTCTTGGCGTCATTCGGTAGGTTCATAACATACCCGAGAGTTCGTCAACCCAGAGACCGTTCGCTCTTTCGAGTCTTGTCTTTAGGCTGCGTAGTATTGTTCTAACAATGATCTCTGTCTGTCTGTTTGCCTGCAGGTGCGTTGGGCCGGAATGAGGCTGCTTTATCTGGAGGTCGGCGCAGAACGAGTTCAAGAGCTTGTTGTCAAATTGTTTAACGTTATCACTAAATATGGTGTAGGGTACTCTGAAGTGGCAAACCAGGTTCTTGCAGATAAAGTTCTTGACCTTTGTGTTTGTTATCTTCGCTAAGGGCTTGACCTCCGCCCACTTAGTGAAGTAATCGATGGCTACCACCACAAACTTTCACTATCCCTTGCTCGTAGGTAGAGAGCCCAAGATGTCAATGCCACATTTGAAAAAGGGTCATGGACTTGTGATGGTTGTTAGTTCTTCTAGTGGCTGTCCCAACATCGTGGCGAAGCGCTAGCACTTGTCGCATTTCTTGGTGTACTTTTGGGCGTCTCTGACCATGCTAGGCCAAAATTAGCCCTACCTGAGTGCCTTGTGAGCTTGGGAGCGACCTCTAGAGTGGTTTTACAAACTCCTTCATGGATTTCCCGTAGGGCGTAATTAGCTTCATCTAGGGAGAGGCATCATAGCAAAGGCAAGGAATAGTCTTTCTTGTATATGACGCCATGTAGGATAGTGAACTTGGAGCCTCTCATCCTGAGCTTCTTGGCTTCCAATAGGTCATCTGGAAATGCGCCTTCTTGGAGAGATGCCCTTATTGGGGTCATCTAGTTTGATTTGACAGATACATGGTTAACGCTAATGGCATCCACGTCTAGTCTGCTTGGTTCGAGCCGGTGATTAATGAATGCTGGTCCTGGTAGGGCTTCCGAGGACGAGGTGAGCGTAGCCAATGCATATGCAGCCATATTGTCTTCCATCGGGATGTGATAGATCTGAAAGTGATGAAACTTCTTAAGCAAGGCCTACACCCATGGCATGGTACTCCTGCATTCTAGTTCCTTTTGCTTGGAACTCGTCTTTCACTTGGTTGACTATCAACTGAGAGTCACTATAAGCAATGAGATGTTGGACTTCCATTTCAGTTGCCAATCTTATGCTGGATAAAAGGGCTTTATATTCTGCCTCATTGTTGGAGGTGGTGAAGTGGAGCTTCACAGTGTGTTTGATGGGAGTGCTGTCGGGGCTGATTAGGATTAGGCCAGCTCCACCTCCTTCGCTGGTCAAGGAGCCATCCACGTAGAGCTTCCAAGGAGGTACTTGAAAGGGGGCCTTGGAGGTCGTGGTGGGCACCTGGCTTGGGCAACTAGATGCCCAGATTGTTTTGGGTGCCAGGCCTTGGCACTTGAGTGTTCAGGTAAGTTTCTAGTGAGGCTTCTTGAGGTGTTGAGGGTCCCCTGCCCTCCTCCTCTGCTGGTGTGAGCTCCGCAATAAAGTCTGTTAAGACTTGTGCTTTAATAATTGCCCTTGGTTAGTACTAGACATTGAATTCGCCCAGCTCTACTGCCCACTTAAGGAGTCTTCCAAAGACGTTTGACTTCCCCAGAACCCTCTTTAGAGGCTGGTCTATGACATCGACAATGGTGTGACTCTCGAAGTAATGTTAGATATGCCTTGATGTTGAGATCAGAGCGAGCCCTAGCTTTTATAGCCCTGAATATCTTATTTCTACTCCTCGGTATGCCCTGCTCACATAATAAATAGGTTTTTACACTCCTTCGTTGTCTCTAATGAGGACATAGCTTATTGCCGATGAGGAAGTAGAAATGTACAAATATAGAGTTTCACCTAGTGTAGCATATGAAAGGAGGAGAGGCATAGCCAAGTAACCTTTGAGCTTTTGAAAAGTTCTTCTGCCTCAGGTCCCCACTCAAAGGCTTTTCGGAGAATCTTGAAAAATTGTAAGTACTTATCTGCAGACTTAGAGACAAATCTGTTGAGTGCTGTAATTCTTCCGTTGAGGCGCTAGAGTTCCTTGGTGGTGGTGGGTGATTTCATGTCTAGGATGACTTTAATCTTGTCAGGATTCGCCTTAATTCCCCTCTGGTTGACCATGAAGCCTAAAAACTTTCCTGATCCAATGCCAAATGCGCACTTCTTAGGGTTCAGCGTTCATGCAGTATGACCTGAGAACATCGAAGGCTTCTTGAAGGTAGTCTATGTGATCTGTTGCGGTAAGGCTTTTTACCAACATATTGTCTATGTATACCTCCATTGTTCTCCCGATTTGAGATAGAACATTTTGTTCACCAGCCGTTGGTAGGTTGTTCCGACATTCTTTAATCCAAAGGGCAGGACCTTGTAACAAAAAGTTCCCTTCAGAGTGATGAACAACATCTTCTCCTCGTCTAGAGAGTGCATGCTGATCTGGTTATATCCTAAGTATGCATCTATGAAGGTGATCAATTCATGTCCTACAGTGGCGTCGATGAGAAGGTCGATTCGTGGCAACGAGTAGCTGTCATTAGGGCACGCCTTGTTGAGTTCGGTGAAGTCAACACAGAGGCGCCATTTTTCATTGGCTTTAGCACCATCACCACATTTGAGAGCCATACTGGGTAGGCCACTTCTTTGATTGCCCCATTTTTTTATCAATTTTCCCATCTCTTTGTCCATCGCTTGCGCCATTTTAGTGGAGGTGCTCCTTAGTTTATGGCGAACAGGTTTATAATAAGGGTCGACATTGAGGAGACGGGTGGCGACCTTAGGGTCGATACCCTCGAGGTCTTCATGTGACCATGCAAAAACATCCATACTACATCTAAAAAAATCTATAAGCTAGCGGGTTAAATCTTTAGGAAGGGAAGAGCCAATGCACATTCTTCTTTCTAGATGCTCCTGATCTAGGACCACTGGTTTGAGCACCTCTACTGGCTCTCCTCTTTCTAATGTGGCAGCATCCCTTGGGTTGAGGACCTCCACTTGTAGGGCTTCTTGGTCTTCATTGAGGAGACATAGCATTGTCTTGCAACAAACTGGTCTCCCCAAACCTCTCCGATTCCATTCGGGATTAGAAAACGGAGGATCAAATAATAGGTTGAGGGCACGAATCTTAGGGTGTTAAGAGTTTGTCGCCTGAGGATAACGTTGTAAGCTGGCGGACAGTCTATCACCAAGAAATTTACCATGATCGTGGAGCTTTGAGGTGCTACCTTAGTGGTGATCGACAAGGTGATGGATCCTATGGGGTAAACCTTATCTCCAGAGAATCTGATAAGAGGTGACCTGATGGGTTGTAATCTTTCTCTCCCCAAGTTGAGCTTTCTCATAGGCTTCTGGAAACAAGATGTCCGCATATTTGTCATTGTCTACCAGAATCCTTCGTACCTAGAAGTTGGCGACAGTCATGGTTAGCACCAGCGGGTCATTGTGGGGGTGCTGGATTCCCTCCAAATTCTTGTCTGAGAAAGATATGACCTGGTCACTTACTTGCTTGCGTGTCTTGGACAGGCGCAAGTCATTAATGTGCCTAGCCTTTCTGGCATGAGCTTTCATGGCACAGAGAGATTCTCCTCCTCCTACGAGCCCTCTAGAGATTTTTTGAATTTCTCCACTGGGTTCCTAGTCCTCCTGATTATGAGGCAGTGGCGATACTTGACCCTTACTAGAAACATACTAGCGTAGATGACCACGTTGTATGAGATCCTCAATTTGTCTTTTTAGGTCATAACAGTCGTCGGTGTTATGGTCGTGATTGCGATAGAAATGACAATATTTGTTCCAGTTCCTGCGATTCGGGGGAGATTTCATTCTCTCTGACCACTTTATTGCAGGGTCATCCTGAATCTGGAACAGGATGTACCCAACAGCGGCGTTGAGGGGAGTGAAGATTTGTCGATCTGTTTAGAGGGCAGGACCAAGTCGGTCTTTGGAAGACACCCTTTTTCTCTTTGCC